TTACGTTAGTACGTACTACTAGTAATTAGGTACGTAAGTAGTAGTACGTAGTGTGTGTGTGTGTGTGTGTGTGTGTGTGTGTGTGTGTGTGTGTGTGTGTGTGTGTGTGTGTGTGTGTGTGTGTGTGTGTGTGACAGATCGGCTATGTGCGAGGTCAGGTTTTTCCACACAATACGGTCTGGTATCATTATCTATTTCCTTCTTTATTTCTCTGCCAACCGTGCATACCCTTTCAATCAAGGATGAGGGAGGGAACGGAAACAGAGAGCGAAAGATTGAAAGAGGAAAAGAGAAAGTGAGGCCAGAGTGGAGTGAAAGCCTCATAATAACATGTTAAGGTAACAGAAGAAAAAGATAGATGTGAAAGGAGATAGGAGCGTCATGTTAGAGAAGAACAGCAGCAGAGATGTCAAAAAGAGAAAACCTTGAATCAAAAGGCGTTTTCACACCGGAGTACTTTTCCCGTTTAGTTCCGATAGTTCCTGGGATTTTGCGTTCACACCAAAAAGAGAACTTAGTTCATGAGAACTTTTCCCCCCTTTTCAGTCCCTGCTAGAGAGCAGGTACTTTCCTGGGGAGAAAAAAGTTCCAATTTCTGATTGGATGGGCGAAATGCAAACCACGCCCCGTAAAACTCTGAAAAGTTTTGTGAAGCCGCCATTTTATTTGCTGACATTAGCATTATTAGCATTAGCATTAGCCCCGCGCACCAACGGAGAGAGAATAATTTATGGCAACACAAAAGAAAACATGGGAGCGGTGGAGATGAGGAGGTGTCGGCGTTCTGGCGATTTACTTGGAAGGCTTCAGTAGAAGCTGCTGGGAGTCCCAGCAGCTTCTACTGAAGCCAGTCCCCAACTCCAGCCATCAACTCCGGGGACTAAACCCAAAGCAGCAGAAGAAGAAGAAGAAGTGACGTCAGCGGCTTCATTTGCCTAATCTTCCCTCAGGAACTTATTCCGGTGTGAACGCGATCTGCTCTTTAGTTGCATGGGGGTACTAAGTGCTGGGTACTAAGTGCTGGGTACTAAGTGCTGGGTACTAAGTGCTGGGTACTAAGTGCTGGGTACTAAGTGCGGCAAAGTACTTGGTGTGAAAGCGGCCAAAGTGACTACAGGAGGAGTGAGATCAGCAGGTTCTCCTGGATGAGGAGGCTGCGATGGGGAGATCAAGATCGAGCTTCGCAATAAATATAATTTCTCCTTCTAGGAACAGCCGGGTAGATCTGTACATCAGAAATAAAACAAGAGAGACAAAGAAGAAGAGCGATATTAAAACAGAGATGACAAGCTGGGAGCACAGTCACTCTCTTCTTTCCTTTCAGTCTCTCGTTGGAGTCATTGATCGTGTTTTTATTCTAATAAATGCCTACAGTGTTCTCGCAGTGCATGGTAACCTTTGCTAGTTATTCTCACACTTTCAAACTTACATGACAGGGAGGTTTGACTGAAACAAGTTAGAGGAGAGAAAAAGGCAAGATGAGAGAAAGGGGGGAGGGAGTGAGGAAGAGGGATGGAGCCAGGACGCCTCCTTGCCAACGGTCTATTAGTTAATCCTTGTGTTTATCCAGTCGAGTGCAGTATCTTACCTGATGATGGCAGCGATAAAACATATGGTTTTATTTCTAAGCAACTACTTGACCAAACAGAGCCGGGGCCAAGGACACGCGCTGCACGGGCCAGCTTTCTCTGCACACTTCTAGAGGTTTCTTACTCCATCACAACACAGATAAAAAACACTAATGGTCGTGCTTTGTACTTCTCGGATTCACCTCAGAAAGTTCAAGGAGCTGGATCAGCTGGAGCGGGAAGGAATCCAATGCCTAGCTTACAGAAGCTTTAAAAGAGGCGCATCTGTGTTGATACAAAGGCATGAACACGGGCTGAAGGTTTTTTTTTGTGTGAAGCAATATAAAGAACAATGTTGAACTTTAAAGCATGTCGAAACAGTAGAGGCACACAAAAACGAATATGAACCTGAACATTTGCAAAATAGGGCCCCTTTAAGATTACTCTGAACTCCAAAAACTAATCTTTGGAGGCCAACTCAATCGGACAGAAGACGTAGTGAAGGAATGGTTTTCTGATACATACATATACAATTCTTTCTTCTTTTGATTTGACAGTGTAGATAAACCCAGCATGTTACATTGGGGAGCCATCATGCGCCATGCAACACTTAAAACAAGCTATAATCAGTATAAAATGTTCAAGGCTGTTTAAAGGGGACCTATCATGCAAAATGCACTTTTTGATGTCTTTTATACATAAAGATGTGACCCCGGTGTGTCGGGGAACTCACGCAGCGTCAGAAAATAAAACCCTCTTTCTTTTCCTTCGTACCCAAATCTCTAAAAATGGGGCTACAACGGAGCTGATCCAGATTTGCGTCCGATATGACGTAATATCTGAAATGTGGACCCACGGCCCAATCAGAAACGTTGCTATCAGAAACAATGCCCGACTGTTTTGGACGTAATATGGTCGGTGTTTACATTAGCATCGCTAACACTCAGAGCTAACTTGTACTTGGGAGCATGTGTGTGAAGAAGCAGGAAGTAAAAAGGAACTCACCTTGTGGTATAACCGGCAAGAGAGAAAGCCTTTGAGCTCCATACTGTTTCAGAGATAATCCTTGATAATTCATGATATGGCGTTTCATCACGGCAGTATTTAGTTTAGACAGTAGCTGCCGGGTCCCGCATGAGCTCAGCCCCCTCCTTTTTTATTCATCAATTATTATTTTTCAAAGCTTTATACCCCAAATCAGCACTTTAGAAACAGGAAGTGAAATAGAGGGATATGAGGCATTGCTAGAATGGGTGATCTGTTTGGTATTTTGAGCAAAACACTTCATAGACATGTTTTTTATGTATTTGTATATATCTGAGACCTATGCTATTGCCTAAAAATAGCATGATAGGTGACCTTTAAGAAATAAGCTAATATGACAGTTTAGCATATAATATCATTAAGTGCAATTTGAAAATTGCAAAAAGATGTGTTTGCCAAAAAACAGGACTTATTTTTATGTAACTTT